ATTTTTTAGTTGAAGAAATAAAAAATAACCACAATAATCATATATGTATATATAAAGACTAGAATCAAGAGCGAAAAACATTCAACAAAGAAGAAGACAAAAGGATTTTTAGAATTGAGAATAATAGAGATTAGTGCCTTTTTAGTTGAGTTTTTTTTTATTTTTAAAAAGGACAAAAGTTGTTGACTATTGGACTTTTAATTGTAAAAGTAAAAAGTTGTTCTACTTTTTATAGTTTCTAAGTAACTAAAAGGACAAAAGTTACACATACATAGAGGACAAAAAACGTTTTATATATCAGAAAAATGAATTAAAACTAAAATGTGGCAATGGGGATTCGATCTCGGGTTGGCTGGGAAAATTGAACCCCCTCAACCACTCGGCTAAGCTTCAGACTTGTGTTAGTGGGTTCAAAATTAATATATACATATAAAATTTTAAAACTGATTTAAATATACATATATATACAGTGTTATTTTTCAACGAAGTGGGTTCATATAAATCCACTTGAACCACTGTAGGTCCGCCCCTGGCTAGTATGCCCACTTGTTACATTATGACATCAACCCTAAAAGTGACCAAGGTAAGTATCATGAACGTAGTCTTTGTTAAAAAATTATATTGTATGAATTCAAAGTAAAAATGAAATTTATCTTACTTTGATCATATCAAAGTTGAAAATGATTGACAAACTATAGCGCATAATAGCAATACTCCTTTCAAATCATTTTTTCTTTTGTAATCTTATCTGCTTGAAATACATATATATAAGTGTGAAGAAGGTATCTATCTAGTATACCAAATGAAAGGGTCTCAATAAAAAAAAAAAAAAAAATTGATTTTTTTATATGTTTATTTACTATATTTAAATTTTTTTCTTTTGTAATCTTATTTGCTTGAAATACATATATATAAGTGTGAAGAAGGTATCTAACTAGGGTACCAAATGAAAGGGTCTCAATAAAAAAAAAAAATTGATTTTTTTATATGTTTATTTACTATATTTAAAAAAATTTAAGTGAAAATTCTGACTCAATTATATCTATATATAAAAAAGCTTCAATAGATTATTAAAACAGCTTTGTAATCCACTTATATGGGATCAAGTTCCACTAATTTTTGGTTTATTCCTAATTTGTGAAAAAAAAAGAACAAATCATAGTACTTTCTTTTATTCCACTAATAAAAAGAAGGTTCCATAAAAGTTTTGAGATTGCAAAATTTTGGTGATTTTGCTGTTGTGTTTTTATTAAGATTTTTAGTAATACTAGTGATGTTCGATTAATTTATA